GGATAGGAGTGCCTCTGTGTTTGCGAGAGAGGACGCCAAGACGTCGCATGGTCTAGCCTGCTCTGTGCGTGAATGAGTGCCGAGGATGTCAGACGGGAGGCGATCGATAAGGCAACTTTAAATTTCTGGCAAAACAGTCTTGTAGGGCCGCCCAAATATCCATTTCCCCCAGCTCAACTGCCTTATGGAACTGGTGGTTAAACATTTAAATCTCGGTTACCGAGTGTAAATTAATATTTAAGGGTGTTAAAAGTGATCAAAAATATTTAATTAAAACCATTTATAATTGTTTTAATGAGCTCAAAATAATCAACCCCATCAACACAAATTCCTAATGCTCAGGCAGCTGATGCCTACTGATGGAAATTCGACGTTACGTTTGTGGAAAAGTAGTTTATTAATATAAGTAAAGGCTAATAGGCAAATAGGAAGTCTAAAGACAATCCTACCAAATGTCGCTTAAATTTACAGCGCGTTTTATTTCTGCAGCATTTGGGAGTGCGCACCTCGTTTTCTTCTATTATATTCTGCATAATAAGGGCAATAGTTATAGCGCCGTATAAGCAAAGTTTACGCCAAATCGACCTGGCCAAGAAAAATGGGGAAAGACACCAAGACTTTTATAGGTGATGGTAGAGTTCCTTTCTAACTTGTTGAAAGCAGTCATCCTCGGCAGTCTTTAGCAAGTCAGTTATTTTCAAGTCCGCTTAAACTGCTTGCAACGTAAATTAATGTCTGGGGAGGATATACTCATGAAGGACAAGAAAATTGAGTTACACATTTGTACTGAAAAAAATTGATGCCCAGCTTCCATATTATGATAAATTTTCTCAGTACGCCAACGTTAAACTAATAAATTGCTAAAATATTTTGCGTATTTACGATAATTCTGGGTGGGGATATTTCAGAATAGAATTAAACATTACAGTTCTTCTAGATAAATACTTTAACTGCAAGAATCTACAAAGTTCAGGAGCAGCAATAAATACGAGAGAGGCAGAATGCCGCTTCAGACATTCTGACTGTTTTCATTGGCCCAAACTTGTCTAACCAGGGTTGAAATTTAAGCGCTGCGGGATGGAACATTTGATCAAACATTCTATTTCTGAACTACAGGCTGGTTGGCTCTGTCAGTTGTTATTGAAAATGTGTTTCCTCCCGAACATGAGACATCACTCTGTACAAAATAAACTGCTCCTACATCTTTGGCCTTCCATGTCTTCTCTTCTCTTACCGAACCGCGCCTGAAGATCGCAGATGCTGGGATTTAGCCATATTGACGTAATCCCCTGCGATAAGCGTGCCTAGGTTGTGTCACTACACCGAGTTGCAAACTAACGGACTAACTCGGCCGCCTTTTAAGGGCTCAGCGTTAGGCCGAAATTGCTCCTTTATAATGTGGCTTCTAGGAAACCCTGCCCAATGTGAACTCAGGTTCGCTTGGGGGGACCATGTTAATGGACTGTTTGACTTTTTCAGTCAATGCTACGGCGCCCATCCAAAGTTGTGTTTTTTCATCGGAGCAAATTGGAGGGGGAAGGAAGGGAGCCTTTGGTTGATGCTGCATAAGTTGGCTTCCGTGCGAGCACAAGTCATAGGTGCTACGCTCACCCCACGGGCTGGACGCTGCCTGTTCGCCTGTTCCTCTATCAGTTGACACCCATGGGCGCGGGTACGCAGCTCGACACTCGCTGTGCAGCGTCGCAGTACCACTTACTGCTTCATCCACACTCCTGTGTGCGGTGAACTACCTAGACCAGTAGGCGGACGGAAAACGTTTCCTATTGGATGGTGATGTTGCATGTTTATTGGCTACGTTATTGAGAATTGTTGCTCTGTTTTCACATATTGTTTTCGTATTATATTATGCTAGGTTGCATTTGTTTTTACTTATTTTTCCTTACGATTGTACAATTTGTTGTGCATATCTCAGAGCTTATAGTTTGTTTTGATTATTGTTTTTTTTTATTTACTGTTTTCGGGAGGGATTTCTTGGCTTTGACTTAGAAATAAAACCACATTCACATTTTCAGTAACCTGAATCTCCATTTATTTTCTCATTTTTGTTGCGCGACAAAAAATGAGAAAATAAGTGGAAAGCCAGAATACTGAACAATTGAATGTAGTTTTATTATTATTCGCAGTTTGAGTATTGCGTCCCTATTAGAAACCATACATTTAAAAATAGTTAAGAAAAATAGGTCAAAAACAGTCAACAATAATATACTAATGAATATAATACGTGAAAACAATGAAACACCCACTAGTCTATTGGACGGTTATATTGGCTACTTCATCCGCTTAGCGGACCGGCCTGCTCGTCTAGATAGTTCAACCCCTCCCGTGTCCCTCGGGTACGGTAACTGGCTGACAAGTAGAAGATGCGATCGCTGGAGCAAGAAATTCATTTGCCTGACGTTTCGGATTCTGTCGAGAACCCTTCATCAGATGTAACCGTAGAATTGGGATGATAAATGCTCAGTTATAATCATAGTATTTATAGTCCGCAATGGCCACACGACCGCAAGTGGAGAGCGAAAAGCTGGTGGGTTCAAAATAGTAATAAATATGACCACTCGCTTAGAACGAGTAGTATAATAAGTACTGTAATACGCTCGTCTTGAGTTGGATTAACACGAACTTGGCTAACTATGGGAAAATCATAAGTCACAGCAGTATTATGACATGGTGAATGCCAACGCAGGTGACGGTTGAGTAGCCGATTTTGACTATGTCCATGGCCTGCTTTGCGGCAGGCTGCGCCTGAATTAGATTGTACTGATGGGAGAGTTGCGCCTTCCACCTGGGCCCGGTGTCGTGCCAGGGTCAAGAAGACCGGAGATGGGAGATTAAGCTGGTGGCTGGCATGGCAAAAATCCGCACCTAAAATGTCCCTGGCCCACAATAAACGCGTGACCAGGATTTTGCTGCGTGTTCATATCACGTCGGGGTCACCAATTGTCGCAAGTGGTTGTGTCGACAAGAAGATGTTTCTTCCAAAGCACAAGTCAGGTAGGACAGTGTTGTTGAAACAGCTTTTACTACGCGAGAAGAATTTTACAATAGGCGCAGCCAAGTGATCACAAGCGCTGCGTACAAAGGACCGTTGAATTGGGAGAAAAAGTGCGTGTTTACGCGCGTCCATGCGCGCAGGATCAAATGCACGTCCGTCCAGTTCTTTTTTTCCTCAGCCAATCAGAACAGTTCTTTGCACGTTGTTCTCAAGTCTGACGACGACCTGGGGAGCCAGTGTCGAAAATTTACTGAATAAATTTACTGATTTCCCGAAAGACGCCTTACCTTGAAATTACATTTCTTGGGATGCCCGCCCTCCAGTTTACACGAGATTAAGGTGTATTCCCACATGATAATTATATTGTCACTCTGACCTACCGAGAGTGGGCAATTCACGTCACCGTTGCCAGGCAACTTAGTAAACACAAAGTAGGGAAAATTCATCTATGGACTTTCCCGAACTCTCGTCGGAAACAAGATTTGTTGGATAAAGAACAAATGGGAAGTAGTAGGCTGCACTTTTCTGGTTGAATGCTGTTTCAGAACAGTTGGCGGAGGTCAAGTTCTTGTATGATGTGCACTAACGCGAGAAGAAGAATAGTTGGCCGCTGGGACAACACCTTTATTCGCCTGACGGTTCGACATCCGTCGCGGAGACATTGGCAACAACAGGTAATTAATGCACAGAGAGTTGTAGTATTTATGGGATACAGTCACTGATAGTGCACGGTTATGACTCCCCATTCGAGGATAAATGCCCACTTGTGCGTTAATTGCTTGATGGCTGACGCGCGGACTGTGACCTGCTGAAGTTTCATCGCACATGGTGGAATTGCACGTGATGATTGCTCGATCATCTGGTTCCCCGTTGTTGGCGTAAGACGACGCGATGGCCTCTGCGTTCCCCAAGTGGCGACTTGCTTTCTTTAAATTGAGCCTCAGCACCGAATATGGTTTGGGCGAGTTGGTACACTTGTTTATGGACTGGGTGCCCGTGAATCATGACACAAGTAATTCCCAACTCACATGATTAACACCTCTTGCGAGAATTTCGAGCTCATAAATTTGAATGCGTGGCCGGGTTTCGTCGAATGAGCCGCAACTTGAGAATTGGCATCACTTCACCGCACTGCTGCCACATGTTCATTAATTCGCGTCTTAAGAAGTCTGCCAGTTTCTCCGACGTATTTGCTTTGTCTGCAACTGCACCAGGTCTTATAGACGACTCCAGACGTTTCTTATCGTGGCAGTGGTCTGTTGGTTTCATTTTTCTGACGCCTTATGGTTGCCTCCGGCCTGTGTGCGACTCCAACTCCAAGTGTTGTCCCGGCGATCGAATCTTCTTCTTCTTCTCACGACTAATATCTTCCTTCGCAATTCGTACACAGATGGATGATTGAGGACGCCTGACCTGCACATTCTACAACCCTGCTACCATCTTAGATCACGTGGCCAATCTGGGTGGACGGCGTCGTCGGAGAGATCGTTCTTATCACAACTAACCAATACTACTACGAGTTTTTTTAGTAAAGACTCTGTGTGTAAGTTCCTTGCGAAGAGCACCCTGTAATAGTCGTCCCCCACTGACGCATTAATATTTAGAACCTTGTCACCTGACCGTTAGGCGACCGGCACTCGCGGCGACATCGACGGACAGGTATCGATCGCCCTGTCACGTGGCCCACGGCTCTCGTGTGGAAGCTAACATCGTCATCATTATGTGCATCTGGGGTGTATGCGGCGAGGTGGGAACCACCTTCCGCTGCAAATTCTGTGGCACACAGTTCTGCATGGTGTGTGGCAGAGGTGAATTTATCGGCACCATGGTCGAATTTGACAAATGCTTTGTCTGCAGTTCGCGCAACTTCAAGGAAAACATTCCCAACCCGCATGCTCGCCGCTACACCCCCGAGAAGTTGGCCCTAATGCAGAAGAACAACCCGAAGAAGGGCAAAGGAAAGAAGGACAAAAAGAAGTAGAATAAATTAGTGGTTTATGTGCGGGCAATTTCGCTAATGTTTGCGAACGAGCTGCTCTGTCCCCCTCGTGTCTAAAAGCTTGGAAATGTGTTTTGGCATCTGTTACCTACCTCCCTATTGGTTCTGAAACAGCCATTTGGTTCCCGTCGTCCAACCAAATTTAACTCGCTACCTGCCCACAGTCTATGGGAGTAGTTCCTGCTTGACAGGTCCATTTTATTGCCTCTCGCAAGTCGAAAGCTTTTTCCACTGTACACCGTCAAGTGGGACTTATGAATACAATCAAGAATCAGTTGGGCTTTGGCCAGCTTTGTATTTATTGAGACTAATTCATTCCTTGTCTGTTTGTGCAGTGGCCTCAGACGAGGCGGCCTTCTTTGCCTTATGCCACTCTACAGTGTTTTCGGCTGGTTTTCTCCAACAAACAAGCTCGAAAATTTTCCAGGCCGTCTCAAATACATCAAGGTCAGGAAATTCCCCCATTTCCGAATGAAGGTAATAGCTGCGTTCTCGAAGACACAGGCAAGGCAGGATTGTTAAGTGTATCCTTCGCAAAACATCTTTATGCAGATTCTGAACCGGTTTCGTAATTTCATCCGTGCTCAGTCACAGTTAGTAATACCGTTGATTTTTCCCTAGAATGAATTCAGAGGTAAATAATTCGTCTAAAAGTCTCGAACTCTTTGGAGACTGATGGTATTCAGTTACTCAGATATCACGAAAGTGAATTGCTTCTTTCGATTACTTAGCCATATATTCTCCATTTATCATTCAAACGGATTCTCCCATGACAGATCGAAGACTTTTTTCAGTCTTCAAGTCAGGATTCTGCTCAAATATTAATGCCGATCGCGGTGTTTATCAAGCACTCATTCTAGCAAAACGATATGATTTCCAACGAAATTCCTGATTGCTGCCTAGTTTATAAGCAGTCGAGCTATACTCAGCATAGTTGTATTAACCGGAGAATCATGCAAAACGTGTAACATAGCCTTTCAGCAAAACTAATTTGTAGGGCCCCTCTAGATATCTACCCCCTCCCCCCGCACAACTGCCTAACGTATTTTGTGGTCAAACATTTAATTCTTGGCTAGCTAGCTTAAATTAACGTGTAATTGTGGCGGAAGTGATCAAAAAATATTAAATTAAATAAGATTATATTTGTTCTAATATGCCGAAATAGAATAAAATTCGATCAAAATGAATTCTCTTGCGCAAGTTACGAGTGCCAATTAAGGGAAATTTGACCTTATGTAGGCGGAATTTTACGAAAATGGAAATTCGTCCTCCTATTGGTGGAATTTAATGAAAACATTGAAAATCGGGCTACTGAACATAAAAAAATAGTGGCAACAGTAGTTTAGTAGCCCCACTCATTAATCCCTACAACCTGCATGTTTTCCTACGAAAACGGTATTTCTAATCTAACTCCAGAACTGTAAGTTGGACGGCAACAGTAGCTTTTGTAGCCTTACTCATTACTCCCTACTACGTGCATGTTTTCCTATGAAGCGGTGTTTATCGGGTTTTGTGGGCGGGAAATTAGGACACGCAGTGGAATATAGTTTAATAAATGCTAAATGCATTTTTTTCTAAATGCATTTAGAAGTGTTGTTGATTTATATCCGCAGATTTTCCCGATCTGTATTATCATTTAACTTATTGCGGAAAAACTCGATTATAAAATTGCAGGTTTCTTGAATTTCCCGAAAAATTGAAATGGTGGTAAGGAGATCGTCTACTTCAACTTACCTGCGGTCCAACTTACCGTTCTGGAGTTAGACTAATATAGTCTGCGGCGCA